AATGACATACCTAGTGGGTAAAGCATTATTTCCTCAGGAATGTGTGGTTTGTCAGCTCTCTGCAGAAGCAGCTGAAGGAATAAAAGCAATGGAGTGTGGTGTCTGATATCATACAGGGGAATAATAATTAGATGCAACCTACAGTGCAAGGCATCTTTGAGGCAGTTTCACAGATTGCTACTGGGGATCTAGAATCTCATGAGTTAGATTACTGATCTTACTCATGATCCACCTGAACAGTAAATAATTGCATTTAAAAAAAACTCAAATAACTGAAATGTGTCTGAAAAATCTCGTGTATGTAGGGTAGGTCTTCCTGTATGATAAGTACTATGATGCTGTTTGTGCTTGTAAATCAGTGGGGAGATAATGTCCAGATGGACACATACCTGCTTAAAGAGCCCAGAAGTATGATGGTTAACTGTACTTGTTATCTGGAAAAAAGCAATTCATAATCTGCTCAAAAGTAAGGTAAAACAAAAGCAAAAAAAAAAAAAAGTACACTCAAAAGTAAAAATTCAGTACAGTAATAAAGAAAACTGTCACACTAGTTTCAAATCCACTTTGGATCCCCAGTGATACATTTTATAAATCCTGTGATAAGGTTCTGTCTCTTGAGAGGACTCTTTCCCTCACAATCACCAACCCTCTGCAATCTGATGGCAGTTTCAGTTTTACTTGCAAAGCGTGAATTAATGTACAGACATCACTGCACACCATGCTCTAGGTGGAGCTGTACTGCTCAGGGATGGGGGGTTTTTGTACAGATGGGTTCTCCATACCAGCATGTCTGCCTAATGAACAATTAAAATTACAATCCTAGTGAGAGGTATCTGTGTGTTGGTAATTCACAGGGTTATGGCATCACTGAACCTGCTGAGGTACTTAGTCATTAAGGATTGTGAAAGTGACAATCAGGTACGTACTATTTGATTTGAAAGTGATTGATTAGCTGAGAGATGGATTCACATGAACGCTCTTATCCCTAATTCAAAAAAATGTGGGTTTTGCATTTTTGTTCACAATGGTTGGTTCCCCAGAAGTGATGCTTTTATTAAGACATTAGGAAATACATGATATGGTCCTTTGTTTTGATGAAATTGTTTGCATAGATACTGTTCCTATAAACAAATTAATCCTTTTACTCTGCCTGTTGAACTGATCTATCTCCATAACAATAGAGTATGTAACCACAAAATCACATACCCAACAATTATTCCCACATGAAAAAATAGTTATTTTTGCTTATTTATTTGCTAGTATCCCTCAAACCACCAACTGGATATCTTTATAGCAATAATAACACAATAATATCATTTATTGTTTTCTAAAATACAGAAAAAAATTCTGATCTACTTTTAGACTAATTTGAAAATTTATCTAGGAATAAATTTTGTAAGTACCCAATAATGTTACTAATCTAATTAGAATAACAGTGAAATAACTAGTACTGATTGCTGAAACTGTAATGAAAATGAAAAGCAAAAATAGCTTTCAGTGGGTGCATTTCTAATTTACTATTTATTTAGTTATTTTACTAAATGTACTATTTATTTATTTATTTTACTATTTATTTACTAGTTAATATTGGTAAACTGTATCTGTTTGTCATATTTAAGGGGTGATTACTATTTAAGTACTCATAGTGGTCTCCTCAATTAGATGTAAATACATAGCTTTGTAAGAAAAGTAAGAATTCCTCTTTTATTATTAATAAAAAACTACACATAGTAGCACTCAGCTGCTCTAACAGTGCTGTTTAATACCTGGCAAAAATACAGTTTGAGGAAAAAATAGCATCACATCTTCTGAAGATTTTCCCTTAAATTTAGCCTCTGTCAGTTCTTCTTGACTTCTTCCCTGTCTCTCTTCATACAGTGCAAGTGAGGCAGAAAGAAAATGCCTCCTTCCATGTCAGTTCAGATATTTTGATTGCTGTATAGCAAGCATTTTCATTAATCAAGTTTAAAAATAAGTATTTTTCTAGAAAGTTCCTTTTTTAAGCCACATTCTGGTGGAAGTAATTACTCTTCTTATTTGAACTGTTAACTGTGTCATCTAGTATGAAAAATTGCTGAATTTTCCACTGTCGTTAGTGGATTCACTGTATTTAAAATAGAAAATTCTTATTTTTGTTGTCCTTATTCTGCCCTTTAAGGATACTGCCTGAAGAAAGGAGTTGTATAAATGGCTCCTATATACAAAGCAGCCTTTGTGTGTTTGGATTTGTTTCCTCCTACAGCAGTTTGTAGCAAACCCAAGCTTATTTTCCTCTCTGTAGCCCTGAACAGCCTTGGTTTTGAGCATCTTTCCCTTGCACCTCCTGCTTCCCCAATGCCATTATTGTAACTCCTTTCTGCCCATGTCCAACTGGGACAATTTTGTTGTTGCTGTGCCTGCTGTGCTGAAGGATGGGAGAGTAGCATATCCAGTAACATCCCTACAGTGCTTTTAAAATGCAATGTAGACAATTGGGAAGCATGATATTTATCACAACTTTCATTTAATTCAGGAATGTTAATTTAAATATTTGTTCTGTTGTCCTGATGAATTATCTGAGAGGAGCCCACATCTGCCATTAACTTGCTGTAGAGATTGTAGCCTGAGGAAGGGCCTAGAACCCATCGAACACATCCAGATTCTTTCAGCTTTGCTTACAGGAACAAGCTGAAAATGTGCATTTCCATTGCTGCAGTTGCCAGCCTACACACTAAGTCCTCCCTACCTCCCAATAACCTTTTTTTTTTTTTTTTTTGACTGCTTCATCAGCCAATCAACAAATAATGTAGGGGAGAGGAAGAGGAGCTGAAATACCCAGCACAATGCTGCTCATGCTTCAATGCCTGACTCTGAATTATTTTTTTCTCATTTCCTCCCTGCACAGAAGTATGTCATAAAGACTAGTCAAAAAACTTGTGCTCAAAGCTCAGTATTGCAATGCTTCACTGAAACTGGTTTGTAACCTTCTCTGTTCTGTTTGACCAGACTGGTGTATGGACCACACTTGGCAAGATAGAGCAGAACTTCTTAAAACCACTGCGTGTAGGACTCAATATGTCAAAAGCACATTATGAAGCAGAAATTAAAAATAAGAAAGAAAACAGAAAAGGTCAGTTTTTGTTGGTTTTTTGTTCTTAGTGTTGTTCATATCTAGAAACTTTGGTAATCCTTTGGAAATCAGGAACTGGTGAATGCTGCATAGATCAAGTTTTATTTAACTGTTGCCACTATTCCAAATTTCAAATAATAATTCAGTAGTTGCTGAATTAAAAATTTTCATAATTGGTCAGAGAAATCTGAACTTACCTGTCATCACATTTGTAAATCTTATGGAAACTTGTTAGAACTGTCACATGAAGACCTTCAGAACTTGTTCTGCATTTATACTTTTGATTTTAATGTTACAAAGGAGAAACTAAATTTCTCTGATTGCATAACCCTTAGGTTTCAAACCAGGTGTGGGAGGGTTAACAAAAGAAAAAGTAAGTCACAGTGCTCTCTAAAGCCTGAAGCATTACATTCATTTTTTAAAATACATGATTTTTTTTATCTGACACACAGAATCAGATTCTGCTCTGGGTTAAGCAGGCACATTGCATGGGGCACAAGAGCTGTAGCTGCTTTAGGCAATCTCTCTGTATGTCACATCCTCTGTTCCTTGTGGTCTCCAGTATAATTAAGATAGCCCAAGGAATTTGTGTCTGCTACTAAAAATGTCAATATAGCTTTTTGCCTCTAGTCCTATCCTCTTCCATTGCAAACTATGTACTTATAAGGCAAAGAAAGGGACTTTTTCCCTCAAGACAACCTGTGGATATCTCTCTAAAGGGAATCCTTCAAAATTAATCAGGAAGCTTTTTTCTTAAGTCCCTCTTACAGTTCTCTAGCCTTTGACAAAACATAAAGAAATTTGAGTTTGGGAGAGAACATCTAAATTGTAACAGTAAATGGTTTAGCTTTCTTCCCTTGTGTTTAATCTTTGTAAGCATTACATTGAATTTCAAATATGTGGTCTGAATGTAAGAAGTTTTTCCCTTATTTTTCAGACCTGTCCTTGTAGTTTAGCCTGCTGCAAGTAATCTGTCTGAAACAGAGAGGCCTGCAGCCTTTTCTTAATAAAATAAGTATTTAATGTCTGGATTCATTTAGTCAAGCTAAAGAACTCCTACTATCTCCCTGGATGTGGAAATACTAAAAATGTATCAAAACTGGGCCAGATAACATTTTATTCTTCATTTTGAAGAGCATGTGAGCTCTATAAAATTAGTTCCAGTTGCAGATCTTGCCTGTTTAGCAATGTAGGAATGTGTGTTATACAAAGTATAAAGAAATCACCCAACTCCAGTTGCCTTCCTTTTAAGGATCAGCACCCTCTGTCATGTGTTTTGTCAATCCCTAGATTTCTGTTCTTAACAATTGCTGTCATGAAATGTTGATATTTTAAATATTCTTTTAATTCTAAGGGTCATGGTGGTTTCTTCATGTTTTCTTCTACAGAGGCACACAGTTCTAACCCAGTTTGCTCCGTAACTGTTAGTGGGGAAAAGATGCCTGCCATGACTACTGGAATGCAGCTTCAAGTGAGTGTGCACTTCCCTTCAGTCACTCAGAAGTACTGACTTTTTTTTTTTCAATGTGGAGACAAAAGTAAATGTAAAATGTATAAAAAAAACCCTAATAAAAATAACACTCATCTTTCTTGTCATTTCAGGTTTTACACTCAGCTCTCTTCACATTTGACTTAATAGAAAGTGTTCTAGCTCGGGTAGAAGAACTCATTGAAGTGAAAACAAAAGCTGTAATGGATGAGAATAGCTAAGGCAGCTGAAGTGTGTGAATGAACATCCTCCTGACAGGATCACTGCACTATGAGACTCCAGTTGCAGGGGAGGCTGTGGCTGCAAAGAGGAGCAGTTTAGAGGGGCCTCCAGAAGAACTGCAAATGCTGCTCTTCAGAAGTCTCCTTGCTGGTTTTTATTTGCTTTTGCTCTTGTTGCATGTGATTTGGAGATACGGTCTGTTTACTCCTCTTCAGAATTTGATGCTTTTTCTTAAGTTTAGAAACTAAAAAAACAAACCAGGTGTGTTCCTCTCTGTGGCAAGGAGGTATGGTTAGGCATTTATTTTTTTTAATTTTCGGAATTTGTTGGGTAATAGTTGCTGACTGGAGTAGTGAATTACAAAGATTTTTATCAAGTGATTGAAGAACCATTAATTCAAAAGCCCTGTTTAAGCAAAAGGTATTTTTATTAGCACATTTTAATGTTGACAAACAAGCTTCTCTATTTGCAGACAGGACTGTCAGGTACAGATAGCTAACACTATAGAATAGTACAAACACTCTGGCAAAGGAAACCAGGTTTAAAGTAAAACAACCTTGGGCCAAATAAGATGTAAGAACTTAGTAATATAACAGATAACACTTATGTTTAAAAGCAGTGTAAGGTTGCATACATACAGCTGTTGTTTTTAGGGATACCTCTATTTTGGAATTGTTTTAATCATCCTTATCTTTAATTGTACAGCTTTCTTTAAAATACAGTAATTTATTTTGGGAATTCTTAATAAACAGATGAGCCTCTAAGGTCAGAACCGAGTTAAAAATAAGGATGACTTTCCTATCGTGCAGCTAAACCACTTTTTTCCCTCTCTAGAAAGCACATTTGGTATCAAGTATGCTATTTTTCATAGTATAGCTATTTAATATGAATTTTCATGCCAAATGCATATGTTGTATGTAGTCTTTTGAAATGTAACTATATTTCTAAGAACATTCTATATTTTGTTTAAAATGTAGCCACTCTATTTATGAATAAAAAACCAAATATTAAGTTAATTACAGTGTGATTGGTACTCCTGAAGCATCTTCCAAACTGGACTTTTTTCTATTATTTGGGCTTTTGTCATTTCTATTTTGCAACGAGTATCATCTGCTTGTGGCTTGGAAGTTACCTTAGAGAAAAGAAAAATTAGTAGAACAAAGTGACTTTAGGCAATAGAATATTCAAAGTTTTATTTTTCCAATAGTAGAAATGCAAAATTATTTAGCAGTGAAATTTGATTTTTGTGTTCTCAAGCAGGTGTTCAGGAATGCTGTACACAGAGATGATAGTATTTCAACAGGAGTTAACAGTAAGTGAAGACAACTTAACAGTGGTAAATAGGAGCCAAAGAAGCTCTTAGATAACTGATTTCTTTTCTTAGATGCTATTAAGAGCTATTAAGTTACCTTTAACAGTAGTTGAAGGACTCAGCTAATGCATCAGAGCACCAGTTCTACCTTAGTGTATTAATGCATTGTGGTCAGTATAACCTAAAAAGTTCCATTAAGGGAAATCAAGTATTTTATAGCTCTTGGCTTTTCCTGAGTAATACACTAATATTTTTAAGTGTATGCAACTGGACTTACCTTAGCCATAGTTAGCATTAATTTAACAGTTTCAGCAGGATTATGAACTGGTATTACCCGTAAATTGCTGCCCAGGAATCTGCACATCAAAATAAATAAGGTTACTTTTAGAGTATGTATTTAATTTGTTATGCCATAAAATTCAAACAGCATTCCCTCATGAAGCAAACAGCTTTTTAGTGTGCAGTTTTACTTACAGGGAAGGCTGCTTTTATTCTGAAAGGCAAGTGCAGCATTCATGCTGTTTGTAAAGCCATCTGTCCCATTTCTGTACCACTTATTTAGGTGGGATTTGGAAGGGCTCATTTCTTTATCTAGGTCTCTTCAACAATCAATCAGCACTTCTTAAGCATGTGTACATTCAGAGATCTAAAACCTCTTCTGTGATATTGCTGAAGGCTCTCCTCAGTGGCAGTAAAAAATATTTGAGTTGTTTTTATGGCTGTGGAAGAGCACAGCAAAGTATCTGAAAACACTGCTAAAAATACTTCAGAATTTGAACTAAATCTTTGTAGTGTACTATAAATAAAACAACCTGTATTCCAGACACGATTCAGATAATGGGATCATTCCACCACTTTCATGTAAAGACTTGTTCACTCAATACTTTAACCTAAAATGATTTCTTTCTATAAATAGTGTTATTAATATGCATTCATTCTTGAGAAGGGGATCTGAGGATTTAAAATAGCAGCATGAGTTGTCATTCAGTGAGATTATGGAGGAGAGACATCAAAGCTTAGGCAAGCACAGAGCCTCTCCCTAAGAATTGCACCTTACGTGTGTCGTAACAATGAATTACCTTTGCTGCTGTTTTCTGTTGTAGAGCTAAAACAGGAGAGGCACTTCACAGCAAAGAATGAGGAATTTTAAATAAGCAAAAAGAATTTCAATAATGCAGATGAAGTGCCCAGCTGCTCAGTTGCACAGTCCCCTGTGCCCTCCCCTTGTGCCCGCCACCTGTTCTTCCTGCAATCTGCCTGATGACTTGGAGCCATTCACATTAGGGCCTCCTGCTGCTGAGCTATCTCAGCTGAACTTGTCTGCCCTTGCTTCTAATTAGCAAAAATAAATGTTACAGGCACTGTCCTTCTCTAAGCACAGGCACTCGGCTCCCTGGTGAGTTTTGCTAAAATGTGATGTACAAACAAGGGCTGGATTTACATTTTGAGATTAGGGAAATAAATTGGTGCAATTTTGCTCATACTAGAATGGGCTAAACAAAGCATGAATGAACAAAGTGCAGCAAAAAACCAATTACATGTACTTACCTAGATCCACGAACATCTATTTCTAGAAATAGTTTTGCTTCCAATAACAGCAGGTCTAAATTTAGTGTTGTATGGACAGAATACTGGTCATTTGAACATGTCTTGCCTTTCCTCCAAGGTATTTAAATTTACCATGCAGATGTACTAAGGTTTTTTGTGGAATGCTCATGGTAAAGACTGCTTTTCTCCCACTTCCCCCTCGCTATACACAACTCTGTGTAAGGTGTTCATGTTGTTAACAAGAATCCTGTAGTTTTCTTGTTAATAATAATAATAAATAATCCTTCCCCAACTGCAGCAAAAGCATAGATGAGGAGAAAGAAGCAGAAATAGAAGATAACCTGACAATACTAAGGGGCTTTGTTTTTTAACAAATCCGACAGGTGACTTGTAGTTTCAAAGAACATGGCACAAGTTTCAACCCCACCAGGAGAAGCTCAGTCAGTGATTACAAACAGTAGCAGAACTTCAAGCTACCAGGTAATAAAAAAAGCACATGCCTTTAAATATATATAGATATATGTAATTGTCCATCATCAACATCAATTTGATATTGCTTGCAATGAAAAAACAAATTTAATTTTAATAAAATTACCAACTTGCCAAATGGAATACAGTTCCAAAACATCACATTTTAGTCATCAGCATGTGCACAAAGCCCATTGTTCATAACCACAAAGTAGATTGAGAATTAGCATTGCCATCACCTGAATAATGTGGTCTTGCTGAATGGTGGCTGAACTTTTAAAACCTCTCATGAAAATTTACAACATTTTCACAAAGAGGTAATAGATTTCTTACATTTCATCTCATACACTCTTTATTCATCAGCATTTGGCAGAATGCCCAGGATTTAATGAAACTGGTGCTAGCTACTTAAGGAGGTAAAGATCAAAGACTTCATTAGAATAGTCACTTCTCTGAGGCCAAGAGTGCCAACCAACTGCAGTTAGGGCTACTGGACCTACAAGAAAATAGTTCTGACTACTAGCATGAAGCACAATTGGATCACTGTTGTCAGCTAGTATGTACTAAAATATGCAAGTTTTCAGACTTCATTAGAAATCAGAGATAAAAGTTTTAAACAAACCAGTTTTAATATAGTTTTATACTTTTGGTGTAAAATAACGTTGATTATTTAATTGTTCTAGCACAGTGTAACAGATGCTGTTCCAAGTAAACATTTTAAAAGCTGGTAAAACTCTGCACTTTACACTACAGCCTTTTCTCATGACATAAACTTGCCTGCTCTGTTTTGAAAGTGACCATGAAAATATGGTTAAAGAGCTAAGAAAATTGTCTAATTTTCTAATTAGAAAAAAAATTTAAATAGTTATGCTCCATAGCCCTAAAATGATTGAAAAGAATCTTATTTGCTTTGTTTTGAGGAACATCCTCTTTTGTTACCTGTGATATGTCAGATTGATTCACTTGGTATTCTTTTTATTTGCTTTTAATAAACAAATGCTCTAAATAATTTTTTACAGCGAACTAGTAAAATAAAATTTGTGTAAATTAGTAAAATAAAATTCCTGAAATAATTCACAAAGGGTAAGGTTGGAAAGAACCATAGTGTGTCAACTCCAACCTCCCTGCTCAAGCAGGGTCAGCCCAGAGCACACTGCACAGGATTGCATCCAGGTGGGTCTGGAATATCTCCAGTGAAAGAGACTCTGCAACTGCTGTAGGCAATCTGTTGAGTGCTCAGTCACCCTCACAGTGAAGAAGCTCTTCGTCATGTTCAGGTGGAACTTCCTGTGCATCAGTTTCTGTCCATTGCCTCTTGTCCTATCTATTCCTAAAATAATGTTTCCAAATCCAAGACTGCTATTTCATTTCTTCTTAGCAATATAAAGTTCAGTTTGATGTTGAAATCATACCTTCTCTGAATCCTGAACATGACACTCCATTCTTCTGGTCCATGAAGAGCAGCTGACAAAACCAAAAAGCTGTTCCGATGGATGTTTATGAACTTCTGAATTCTTGTGGAAAATTCTTCTTCCCCTGTCCTGAGCAAGTCTTGAGTGTCTGACAGAATAAATGCAATGCCTATTGGGGAAACTGCTGTAAGTGTACAGGTCATGGCAGTAAAGGGATTAAGTTCTCACCACAAACTGGAAAGCACCATTCTTAAAGCAACCATTGGTCTGAAACACAATGGAACAGAACATGAATGAATTTCCACATCTCTGACAGGGAGATTTGGCCAGTGATTGCTAGTAGTTTGAAGATAAAACTACAAATATCTCAGGTTATTTTTCTACTGTAACATAAAAAAACCACCAGCTATTCCATCTACTCAAAGCAGACACATTTGAATGCCTTTGAGAGCACATGCTTCAAGGAACAAGCAACTGCTGTAATGGAATGAATTAGGGGCAAATGCAAAGGCTGACTGAAAAGCTCAGGAAGTCCTGTTTCTAAATGAAAGAAACAGCTGTAAAATCTCAAAAGTTAGCTAAACTGTCTACCATGAAAAATGAACTTACATCTCTGTCAACTTAAGTTGTTGTGAAAGGGAAAGTTAAGGCTGAAGTTTAGGAGGGTTAACACCTGAGCATACAAAAGTCGATCTCAGCGTGTGCTAGTCCTTAGAGTTCAGACAAATGGAAGTATTTCATCTACATGTCTACAACATCTTCTGTTCTAAAAAGGAAAACCAGCTGTTTCATGTTTACAATTTCAGTGATTTCTTAATCAAATCCACTCAAATAATCCTTTTCTTGCCTCCTTTGCCACTACTAGCTGTGCAAATTCAACTTAGAGGTTGAAAGCCAATGGCTCTTACATTTACAGCCATGTATATGAAAGATCTTGATGGCAGCTTATGTGCTTGTGGCATTTAGCATGTTTGCTCAGTTATAACACAAATTTACTGAACAGTTCAGCTGATAATCACCAAATCTCATGTAGCTGTTGTATAACAGGTCCAAAAAAAAATTACAGTGAAAGTGGTTAATCCCCAACATTATCTGTTTCATCCTCTGATTTACGTACAATCATAGCCCAAGTCCTTCCACTACTGCACAACATCCCAACAAGGTAGATTTTATTCAGTTTAGTGTAGCCCACAACTAAATAACTGCCCTGACTCTGTACTTCTTTGGATTTTATGATTTAAAAGCATGAACTTTAAAGTAGTGTACCAGAAAGAGGAAAAATCACAGATCCAGTTTCCACTGACTCTGAATATCGAACTCGGTGTTGCTGCCTCTGCAGAACTGTAGAAATTTCATGATCCTAAATAAATTTTAAAAGGTTATTTTGAAAAGTCTTCAGACAACATGTTAGAAATATTCTTAAAGCATTAGCTGGACCACTATAGATAGACCTTTGGCACTGTTGTTCAAAAAGTATTTCTTATTCCACTAAAAATTAAAAAAGTACTAAATTGTTAAACATGATCAGTTTTGAAGTATTTGATTGGAAGTTACAAACACTGAATAATAATTATGTATGTGTATGTTCAGTTTGTCTTAGGAAACTCTTGCATTATGCATAAAGAAGGTTTTTTTACAGTCTGTTTTGGTAAGATGTTCTAATAGAGGATTTGCAGAAGGGAGGATCATACAGTAGTGTGTTTCTGTGACTGGTTAATTAGGCTGCATTATTTTCACAGATGTCAGCATCTCAGCTGGAAAATCGTTCAGCAATTTTGTATGGGACATGATTTTCTTTAAAGCTTTTTGACAGAAAGCAATCCACACAGGAAAAGTAGAACATTGCACTATGCAGCATAATCATCTATAGAATGGAATGTGTTTGGATGTATTTTTCAGCCTGCAAAAAGCATTTCTGCAGTATGTTCCACAGAAGCTGCACGAACACACATATATTAAAGGTTAAATCACTGAGAGTTTTTAGCTAATAACATGTTCTTTAACCTACCCATTCAACACACAGCCAGCCTGCTTATGTAGGGAAGTGCCATGATTTAGTGCAAGAGTACAACAGAAAATCTGGATTGCAAGTGAACCTTGAAGGAGACATTAACCAGAAATGTCACACTTTCAATTGTCTGGAAAGGGTATACTCAGCGGCAACTGCTTGTAAGGTTTAGCTACATTTTGCAAAAAAATCTCAGCTTCAAAGCCACTGCTGAAATGTTTAATGTACAAATATAACTAATGTCTATATGAAAATGATAGCTCATAACCAAAACTGACACAGAAAAGCTGTAGGTGCACAGTTTGTGGTAATTGGGGCTGTGGCTGAGCCTCATCCCCAATGGGCACAGCTGTGAGCAGCAGGTGAGCAGCACTGACAGCAACGAGCCAGGGAGTGCCCAGGGGCACTGAGCAACCACCAAAGGGAACAGAGGGCACACAGGGACTGGGCACCAACAGGAGGGGATAAAAGGCTGGGACAAAGAACAAGAAGGGCAGAGCTTGCAGCCTTCTGAAATAATGTGATGTTATTCTGCATGGGCAGAGACCTGAAGCCTTCTGATGTGGTGAGGTGTTGCTCTGTTTTAAAGCTTTCTGCAATGGTATGGGGATACTCTGTGTATTATGGCTGTAACAAAAAGTCATCTTGGATTTGTATTCAGTTCCCTCCATTGCTTTGCTTATGAGGAGGCTTTACTAAGAGCAGTAGTTTTGAGTTGAGCTGAGGACAGGAGTGAGTTATGCTGGTATGGCTGACGAAATCACTGCCATCCATTACCTCCCACCATATTATGGCACAAGCATGCACAGCTTACAGGCTGTAAACTCCAAAATGAGCAGGCAAGTAAGTATAGGCTTTAAAGTGAGGTGATTCAGGAATTATTTCAACATGGTTCACCCATTTACACAGTGGAGATGGGGTGATAACCTTGTCAGCCAAGCTTGCATAAGACATCCCTGCTTGTGAATCAAAGCTCTCTTGCCTCTAAATTCTCTCCAGCTGGCATGAAATTGGCCTCAGCTGCAGAAGCTAATTACCAGCTCCTTGACATACCCTTTCACTTTACTTGGGAACAGAGTCAAGGCTTCTGATGTTAACAGATTAAAAATATATATTAATATCTGTAAGACTCAGTATTTTAAACTGAATTATGTACTTACAGGGTAATTGTCTACCCCTGTTTGATACTGCATAGGAAAAATTCAAATATTTAGGGAGAAATTCAGAAAAAATTCAGCAACGTTTCTGTTGGAATTATTTATAGAGCAAACTGAAAGAGGCATCAGTGCAGCGCAAAAACGATGAGTCAGGAGAATATCCTAAAGCAGTGTAACTCAGAATAGCAGGTGGCAAGAATACTAAACAGATATGGAAGTAGCTAGGAGAAAATACATTTGCACACAAAAATAACCAGTATTCTAACAGAAGCAGTTTCAGACTAATATCTGGTTTATCCTGAAAAAAATGTACTCCTTGCCATTGATTAAAATATTCCCATATATATAATATAGGAAATTCTTTCAGCCTTTCCTGTGAGGAAAGTGAGTCAGATGCTGGCTTTGACAAGGGCTGTCCTACCTGCAGAGCTGTGCTCATAATCACCGTCGTTATCCACCTTGTCTGCTCCTGCCCACAGCTTTCTGCCATTTTCTTTCAGTGGTTTAATAGCTCTGCAATGAGGTCTCTCTTCTGAAAAGTTTGGGAAAAGGGAGACGACAAATATTTCCCGCCAGTTAACGAGGTGAGATGTGTGAAGCACGGGGATAAATTAAAGAGCTGACTAAAAACCAGCGGGGCGCCGCCAGCAGCGGGAGGAGGCCGGGAGGTTCCCTCAGCCTTTGTGCCAGCAGCTCCCGATGCCAGCCTCAGCCTGGCCCTTCCTCGTCCGAACCTGTCCTGGGGCAGCGCTGGAGCCCCGCGGCGCCTGCGGGAGGGGGCAAAGCAAAGGGGGAGCCAGGCGGCGGCGAGGGAGCGGGGCCCGCCCTCAGCCTCGCACCTCGGCCTCAGCCCTCACGCCTCAGCCTCCCCCTCACGAGGAGCCCTCAGCCCTCAGGAGCAGCCCCGCGACGCCGGAACCGCGGCTCCGGGGAATGCTCGCTATGGGCGGCCAGTTCTGCAGCTGTTTGTGGGTAAGAACAGGCCAAGTTATTTTCTATAGAAGTTATAGAAACATAGAAGTTTCACAGGACAAAAATGCAAAAGCAAGAGACTGTTGTATTGCACTAAATCAGGCACGATTTCTTACAAGAGACTGCGCCACTTTCAGTGAAAAAGTAATACTGAATGTGTTGAGGTTTCTTTTTTAATCATGTAAGAGGAAATAACCCTTCCACATGGTCAGAAAGAGCTGCGATGCTGAACCATTAAAAGCACTGGTACCCAGCTCTGCTCTCTAGCCAGGCATGAGTCTAGCGTCTAATACTGTGTTCTGAAACTGGTATTTTAACCAAAAGTCAGATATTTTAGTAAAAGCTTTTTCTTTTTAATCACTTTTAAAGCATTTTATAATAGAAGGAACTGACCTCATATGTGCAGTTTTAGAATGTAATTACAAAGAAATACAAATACTGGATTTAGGCTCCTGATAGATACCTTTTTTCCCTGGTAGCCACTTACTGTGCATGAAGTTGGACACCCCCAAACTCAGAATATCACTTGAGAAGCATCAAAGTACAGTGATGGGTAAGTGTAGGACAATGAGAAAAACCCAAATCTTAAGAGAAAATGCTTCCTATCAGTATTTTGCCTCCAGTTGTTACACATTTACTCACGTATATCATGCATGTTAATTACAGTTGGCAAATATTTATACCAGGAAGTATTTCTGCTTGTCACTTACATTTGACAGTAGCTGGTTTTGGAAATAAAAATAGGGCTTGTTCTGAGACAAAAGGTTCTTAGCAGAATGGACCCTGCACTGTCTCCTGTGTAAGGGCTGCCCTGGCCTAATGCTTGTCTGGGACGTGCCCAAGGGACAATTCTGATCGAAGTTTGCTCTGCAAGACCATTTGAATATTTCACGACTTGGCTTTCTCCTTTGTTTTTGCGCCTGAATGTCAGAACACTAATTAAGTAGAGCTCAGACTCAAAGAAAATAGATTTTTGTGAATTGTGTGTTCTTCAGAGCATTGTTCTCCACAGTAGTTTCCTTTCCCAAAAGGGACTTCTGAGGAAAGCTATCTGATGAGCTGAAGTTATTTTCCTACTTACTGTTACCTCTGCTGTGACCATTTCTGACATTTGGCCAGTCTTAGCTTTAAATCTCACAAGCATTTCTTTCCCCATACCTACAAGGTGCATTTCACATAAAGGTGAAGTTGCAGGAGAGAGACAGAACAGGGCTGAGTCTGGCAGCATATCAAATATTTCCTGGAAGCAGAGTACAGGACCCCACTTAGGCAGGGATAGAAAGATCTTGTGATTAGAACTCCCCTATGATGAAGATAATGGCATAAGCATTCGAATGAATAACTAATTTATGACAAGGCAAAATCTATAATCCAATTAGTGTTTCTCTATGTTCTCCTGGCCCATATCCTGTATGTTGTACATCAGCTCCATTGTTTGGTTTTGTGGGACTGTTACATAGGTATCTTCCTCTATGTATTTTTACATGAAAACTGATTGTCTGTCTTCACACACACATATCAACTGTCCTGTTCTCTGATGACACAGTCAAAGAAAAATCAGTATTTTCCTTTAAAGGAGAAAAACAAGTGAAGGTCTACTAAAGATGGAAAAGGAAAGTTTTTTTTTTTTTTTGCCATTTACAGAGCACAAATAAAAATTCATGTCAGCATTCCACAAGTTGAATGAAATACAGTGACTCAGCATTTGACTTACACATAGGATTTATTATTTTCTGTCATACAGAAATCAACTAAGAACCTCGAGTATGTAGCATGAGGAAGAAGGGTTGTGGGACTATGCAACCATACAGATATTCTTGAAACAGAACACTATGTTGACAAAAATTCATTTCAAAATAGGATTACTTAGGCCCCAGCTCATTATCTAGGTGTGGAAAGCAAGCAGGTGGGAATCATGCAAGCATTTGGTTTGAGAGCTTAACACCCTCCCCTTCCCTCCACAGGATTGAGTGGTCAAAATATTCCAGGACCATAAAGCCATGGACTACAGGTACTGACTCAAACCTTTCTTCATATGCATCCCACTATACATATATTGGATTAATCTTGGTTACTAGATAATCCAGATACATGATAATCTTCGTTACATGATAATCCAGAAAATAGAGATTGAAGGGGTTTTTTTTCTCTACAGATACAGCAGGAGATTTTGTTATAGGCAGGAAGTTTGATTTATAGGTGGGTTTCTTGTTTGTGGATATTTCCTCATTTTATGAAAGTCACAAAAAGCTTTTACACTACCTACTCTGAATCTGGCATGTACACAGAGTTTGTCCTATCTGTACTGATCTTAAGCACACTGATATAACTCTACTGGCAGGAAGTCATGCCACACTTGAAAAATGGTTATTAAAAAAAAAGTGAAGAATGAAAATGAATTCATTAAGCACAACTGTGAGAAAATGGCAAGAATTCCTACATTAAGGATTGCATAGGTGAGGATATTGTAGGTTAAAGTAAGTTGGTGAGATCAGTCTCAAAAATGTTTTATATATTTAAGGTACATGGGCCAAAATTTTTACTCCAGTAACTAGTCTCTCTGTCTAGACACATAAATAATGTGATCTTCATAAATGTGCATCTGATAGCACTCACACTGACTTAGGTGGGAGCTCAGAAAGAGTAGTCACTGTCACTGAATGCATAAATACAAAGTTTGATGGACTACCTGTGTAATTGGGCTGAGTCCCAAATTTGTGCATGTGAACCTGTGTTCAGGTTCACCAGAATACACACTCTAGTCCAGTTAACAGTCATGATCTCTAAGTGTACAAACTCTATTTTGACCATCAGTGTCCTTGATAAATGTATCTAGTTACTGATTTATAGTCAGCCCCTCCAGACACTGAGGTTTGAGTTATTGAAGACATATATTTGTATTTTACAGTGCAATAGAGAAGGAACTTATGTTGCATGTAATGCAAAAAGTTAGGTTCTTAGGACTTTGATTTCTCTAACTGGACAGTCTTCTGAGCCATCATTTAAGGAGAACAGGGGAGGAATTTAATGGAATTCCATTATTAATTATTTCATACTTTAACTGCATCTAGATGGTTCATCAGGATAAGAACCTCATTAAGTTGAGTGCTGTATAAAAACACAAGTGTGCACAGTGCCTGCCCCCAGTGTCAGCTCCATTACCCTCTCTGAAAAGAGAATGTTAAGCTGAAAGCCAATCTGCAGATGTGGCTGTGGATTCACTTCTGTGTTTGCACAACTGTGGCTTAATGGAGTGCAGATTGCAAAGAGAAGTATGAAAGGGAGGTCAAATGCAAGAAACAGGTGTGTGTGCATGCCTGCTCTGTACAGCTTCTACTGGTTTTAGTTATCAAATGTAAAAAAACCAAATTTGTAAAAAAATGACCAAACTCAGTATTTTTCCCCAGCTGATATCCAGTTCTTAGATAAATCACTTTTCTCTGTTACAGGATTAGCTTCTTTAAACACACAGTAGTTGTCAATGGGAAGAAGTAAAGTTTTAAATTAGCTAAAGAAGACATTTGAGCTGCCATTTTTCCAAAGTTGAACATTAAAGCTTATTTAAAAAAAAAATTGCATATAGCTTTTGTTCAAGAGAGAAAAATGAAAATCAGTATGGATTTTCTGCAAGAGATGAAAGCTTCTAATTATATTTGATTTCAGATCTAAAAGCCCATTTCCAGAGAATCATCTGTTGTAATAAAGCTGCAATACTTCTCATTTTATCTTTTGTCCTCAGTTCCTATGTAGTCCTGGCAAGAATGTCATCCATCAATGGAAAAATGTTAAATCACCCCAGTCATGAAATATTAACAGAATGCATACAATTATGACTCCTAAATTGAAGTCTTTCTAGCTGTAATTTGTCATACCTACAATTGTACAATGTTATTAGTAGAATAAAACTAGAAAACTACGAAATATATCTATTGGAAAAATAGCATTTCTAGTACATGCATTATTATAGACAGGTCCTGAGCCTCATTCAGCTGAGGTCAACAAGAGGGTTTTTTTGACATTAGTGAAAGCAAAATAATGAATTCCTAAATATCTTGGTTCTCAGCAACAGATGAACAACATAAGAGCAGTTCTTAATTCCTTCATGCAAAGGTTTAGGTTTTCTGGAGCAAAGTAGAATTAGCATGCTACTTACTATTTTCCAGATGGCAATAATGGATATTGAAATATATATAAAATAGTCTCCCTACAGTATGTACCTATGACAGGAATGTGATTTTTTTTTTTAAATCATATTCCCTGAAACAAACTGATAGACAATGCTAGGGGAACACATCCTAGGGACAGTCTTTGGGAGAAACATAGGAAGTTCTCTAGCCCTAGTTCTTCCAAAATAATAATAAAATTTGCCATCTCAAAACTTGAGTACAATTTTGAAATAATTAAAAACCTTAAAAAGTATGTTAGAAGATTATTAAACGTGTACAGTTCAATCGCATATCATCCAGAACTTAAAAATATTGCAAGCTAGCGACATTTCTTGTACTCAATTATTAATATTTTCCAATGACACAAAAAGTAGTTTTATTACAATGAGAATAGTTTAATATCAAATATCTGTTTCCGATGAGCATTGTGTTTCTGCCTGCTGTCTTTATTACCATTTTATATGCTGTGGATGTTGATGAGGCCCTGAGAAACCCATCTA